CGATATCAGGTTGGCAGTGAGGATAATTTGTGAGAAAAAATGGCTGCCTTTATACACGTCGCATTGAATATTTTGAGCTTTCTGATTGGTTAACCCTTCTATTAGTGAACTATCAAATGAGTCAGCTCATTTAGGCTAGCTCACTAGTACTTACAGTGTACCCAAAAAACTGCAACACTTTCCACTTCATGACACCTGAGAACGTTAGCCTGAGAAGACGCATAGAATCACTTTCCTGGAGGTTAGCATCAGCTGTTCTGGAGTCCTTATATATCAGATCCTGCAAGCCTTCCCTCTATACACAGAGGGATTGTTTGTTGAGTCTGAATATTATTGGTCTCTAGCTTATCCTGAAATATTCCCCCCTTCTTCATTAGTCATCTTTAATTTATACGTCTATTCTTTTATTTCCCAGAATTAAATTTGGTAAGACTGGGACTAAACCAATTGGTTTTAGCTATTAAATTTACACTGATATGCCTTTTAAAATACGCTTATTCCTTGTTATTATTAAGCTTTGTACAACAAAAACTTGTTTACATCTAGAGATAGATAGATAGATAGATAGATAGATAGATAGATAGATAGATATGACGAGATTGCAATAGACATGAAGAGACTGAAATAGATATGATGAGATTTAGATAGATAGATAGATAGATAGATAGATAGATAGATAGATATGACGAGATTGAGATAGATAGTCATGAAGAGACTGAAATAAATATGATGAGATAGATAGATAGATATATAGATAGATAGATAGATAGATATAACAGATTCAGATAGATAGATAGATAGATAGATAGATAGATAGATAGATAGATATGACGAGATTGCAATAGACATGAAGAGACTGAAATAGATATGATGAGATTTAGATAGATGAATGAATAGATAGATAGAATATGACGAGATTGAGATAGATAGTCATGAAGAGACTGAAATAAATATGATGAGATAGATGAATGATTGATATATAGATAGATAGATAGATAGATAGATAGATAGATAGGGACATAGATAGATAGATAGATAGATAGATAGATAGATAGATAGATAGATATGAATAGAGATAGATAGGGACAGGCAGAGAGATAGATAGATAGATAGATAGATATGAATAGATAGATAGATTAATCGAGATTGAGATAGATAGTCATGAAGAGACTGAAATAAATATGATGAGATAGATAGATAGATAGATAGATAGATAGATATATAGATAGATAGATAGATAGATTTTAGATAGATAGATAGATGAATAGGAATAGTCTTAATAGATAGATAGATAGATAGATAGATATAGATAGATAGATAGATTTAGGAATAGTCTTAGATAGATAGATAGATAGATAGATAGATTTAGATAGATAGATATATATATAGATATATAGATAGATATATAGATAGATAGATAGATAGATAGATAGATAGATATTCTTATATCCTATATTAGTTATTACATTATCTGTATAAAATGCGTATTTAAATGTAACATCTGTTATGGAACTGAACTTGTATAATAAAATTATTTGGGGGACAATATCAGATTTAAAACAAAATATAAAATAGACGAAATCTTCGACAAAAAATTAACTTTTGTCTTCTGGAAGCGTGACATCAAATATTACGTTTTTTCAAGATAGCCATGTTGGGAATAAATTGGTTGAAGATTCAAGAAAACTTTCTTCCTAAAAGAATCCCTCGAATAAACTCGTTCTTAAACTTGTTTGATTGGCTCATTCATTAATTCTGCAGCAGAGTTCGGATTGCACAACAGGCAAGTTGTTCCGAAATTGCCGCCTTTAAATTATTATGTCCAAATGAGGAGGAGTCACTAGAAAATCGGAATTCAAAACCCTGTTGATTTACCCGGGCTCGATCCCCGACCACTTGTATTGGATGGGAATAAGAAACGTCAGTAACCCGTTAAGGATTTTATTTAACAGATATTTCAAAATGATCATCTTTGATAAGGGCATGTACACTGACACGGCTATCCTAACACAAAGACCCTTAAAGGCAGTAAGAAATTTGCAGTTATGTTCTTCTTATTTCACCCCAAGCAAGGCAATAAAACCACTAAGATGCAAGGGGTGGTTACTGAGTGTAAGATAATATGAGAATAAAAAAACATTATTAAGGAGAGATAACAATTAAAGAAACATAAATAAAAGAGACATAAGATAACCAGTGACGGATGTACATCTAGGCTTAACTAGCTGAAGACTAAGGCCACAAAATCTAGGGCGCCTTTACATAAGGTGTATAATCTCTATCTATAAAAGGTAGGATGTGTGTGTGTGTGTGTGTGTGTGTGTGTGTGTGTGTGTGTGTGTGTGTGTGTGTGTGTGTGTGTAACGAATGCACGGCCGCAATTTTCGACGGATTTGCACCAAAATTTACATGCACATGCTCCAAGTTAGCGGGAAGGCCAAGACCGGCATTGCATTTCCCAACTCCTATCGATAGTGGAAATAATCGATTTTTCATGCTTCTACGGCAATTTTCATGTAGTTTGCGGCCATTTTCTACTGGCCAGAGTGAGAGCCAATAGCTGGCTGCCACGAATAGGCAGGAAGATTCTATTGGCCAGCGTGAAAGCCAACAGCTGACTGACACGAATGTTAAAAAAAATCGATAGCTGCCTTCGTCACAAGTGGGAAAAATTTAAATCTGCATGGCACTTTATTCCAATTGGCTCATTCGCTTGCTTAAACTCAACGTTGATTCTGATTCCGCAGAACTGGGTTTGGGTGTGAAAAAGTATTTGTTGTTAACATTCTTTTTTTCATTCGGTTTTTCCAGTTACGAGTCCTTTTTTAAAGCTGATCGTTTTGTGTTCATTTTGTTTAGTTCTTTTTTCGTAACAGATTTAATGTTTAGTATAGAGCTTAGAAAAAATTCGCAGTGTGAGATAGGCAAGAAGTAAGACATGTAGCAACATCAGCACGGCAAAGGGCACTCCTTTAAAGGCAAGGAAGGGCAAAAATATTTTAAGTCAAGTGATAGCTATTGCTGTATGAGTCGTACGATTTTTGAATCAAGCCTGGGCAACGCCGAGCCATGCTGCTAGTATCTTTATATATTGTCCTTTCTTACACATGCTGCCAAAACGTTTTACATGTCACCTGTCACCGCAGAGTGTGATTAATAAACATTTATCAACCCATAACTTCCAAGTACCTTTAAGGAAAATTCTAGTTGATAATACAAGAATCCTTTTCAGGTCACATAGCCGTACATATCTCGTCATTAGGGGGGCTCTACTTATTAAACTTTATCCCCCCACTATTAATCTCACACTATTTAGTAGAGGAGTCGGCGTGCTAATAGTGTTCCAAAAATAGAAGTCCTGTCCCGATCAAGTGGCCGCGCATAGCACGTGATTACTAAAATGCACACAAACCGCTCGAACTCCACACTGTAAAATTATTATGTAGTCGCCACACAGAATTTCACTATCCTAAAACACATCCTTGATAATGGTTAGAGAAGTAGCCGAGAATATTCGGAATAATTATAACTATGGACAATTCCCATGTTCTTTAACCTTTTAAAAACAGAAAAATATTAGATTGTTGGAAAAAACTCAATAAAAGATTAATCTTTCTTGTCGGCCGTTTTCAGTGAAAGTTGTATGACAGAAACTTTTCTGCCTAAATACGAATCATAACGCACTGAAGACTCTAAATAATCCTTCAGTAATTTTAAACACTTCGTCATCCTCCTCGGCTTTACTCAGATTGTTTAATTTAACACTCTCCCATTTTCCTCTACTTGTGAGAATGGGGGATTTAGAGCGGCCTCAAGATTAGAATAGCCAAGGGCCTCAAAACTGGAATAGCCTCGAGCTTCACTTCATCTAAATCCGGTTCTGAAGATAACGATTGACATAACATTTAAATTTTTGAAGATCAAATTTGACTGGAAAGCCAGAGGACAGAAGAGAATTTTACTTTTTGAGAGAAGAAACTGTTAGTATAAAACTTACGGTTATATCTAACCATTTCTAGTGTATTAATGATTAGACCTAATACTGCGCTTAAATTTATAAAGTCCGGGTACCAAAGAAGAAAGACTGTCAGAACAATTACCACGTAAATATTTGTAGAAAAGGCACAGGAAAGCTACGTTATGTCAGGGGGAAAGGAACTGAGGTCGAGATGCCAGGTCAGGACCAACAAGATTGCAGCTTCTTCTTTGTATTTTATTTAAAATTTGAACAACAAAGCAGTAAAAACCAAAACAAATGCGAGAGAAATAGACAGTCTATGAACGAATGGTAGACTTTAAATATATAAGGTAGATTCGGGCTAGAAAAATTGTCTAGCATGAGAGAGAACCAAATTTTCTAGCAGTAGATCTAGCAATTGATTCAATATAATATTTCCTATTCATGTCAGCGGAAACTGTTAGCTCGAGAAATCGTAATCAGTCACTCTCCTGGTGGTTAGCATTAGCCATACTGATGGAAAGCCAAAAAGAAATCACAATTATGAAATAAAACAACATTTCTGGGTTTTTTTATTATTATTATTATTTAGACTCTAAAGAAACAAAAACTATATCCTTGGACAAAAATTGAACCCGTTTCTGTTATCATGCAAACGTACAACAGCAAAAAATTAAACAAAAAGAATTATGGCCATCGATTTTCTGAGAAAAGTCCGTTTACTGAACGCCGGTAATCATAAAAGCCAACAAAATAAAAAAAAAGGGGAGTTTTCCTTTTATAGCACGAAATTTGTCAACGTTTAGACACAAGCCTAATCCAAGATGGAGGACCTTCGAAATGCACTTCAAACTGCTATCATGACGCATGCGCATTTAAACAGAAATGATTCTGTTTAAATGCCTTGTGCATGACTACGTCGATACGCGTACAATGCTCGCCTGTGTTTAGTCAGATATAAAACCTCACGTGCATCGATGCGGACATGAGCGTGCGCGTATGTGTTCCCGTTCGCGCACGCGCGTGTGTGAAAATCAGGGGCATGATTACAAAAAACTTAACGAGACAAGGATGGGATGTTTTAAAAAGCAATTTGTTTAGAGAGAAAGCACGAAAACATATTTCTAATCTTCTCCGTCTCTATCACTATCTGTATCTCTCCCCCGTTTGCACACATTCTCTCTTTCTCTCTCTCTCTTTCTCTCTACCCCACTCTCTCTCTCTCTCTATCTCTCTCTCTCTCTCTCTCTCTTCGTTTTCTGTCTATTTCTATTTATTTCTATTCTTTCATTTTCCAGTGCCATTTTCTGTTAACACCCTCTTTCTCTCCCGTTACAATCTTCCCCTCTCTCTCTCTTTCTCTCTCTCCCTCCCTCCCAAAATTGAAATCTTCAGATCTATACATTTCGCTCTCAACCTCTCGTTACACTATCTATCTATCTATCCTTCTCAGCCTGTTTATTATCTATCTCAGTCTTCTCATTATCTATCTATCTATCTATCTATCTATCTATCTATCTATCTATGTCAACTTGTTTCTATCTACCACAGTTTTTCTTAAATACCCCAGGCTATGAACTTCTATACATCTCACTCAGTTTGTATATTGTCTGTTGATCTTGTCTGTTCGTATCTATCTAACTTTCTCTCTCTCTCTCTCTTATATATATATATATATATATATATATATATATATATATATATATATATGTCTATCGACGTGATCATATCTCTCTACCTGTCTAGATCAGTTATTTTCTCATGCATCTATCTTAGTTTTTCCTATCTATCTCAGTTTTTTCTTATCTATCTGTGTATATATTTTTCTTTGATCTCATGAATAACAAAATATTTTGTGGTAGCCTCTCTGCTGACAGCTAATGAGAATTGTACGAGATAGCTATGCCCTGTTCCGGTTGCTGTACAGGAAGGTTTGAAAAAATCGTACGAATTTCAAACAAAACTGGAAGGTTGCTGCCATATTCCTTGTCCAATCGACGCCACTGAAGTTGACTCGCTTCTTCAACGAGTCCTTGGGATTCTACCGATGCTTGCGTCTCTCTGACAACGGAGGGCAGCTTCATCTTCATCGTCGACGTCATCAGTCCATATTGTTGATGGTTGATCATCAAATGAGAACTTATATTTTTTCAAGCCGGTGAATATTCATTCAAGCCGGGCAACTTTTTGGGGACCTGCTGGCAACAGGACTCTGCACCATACCACACAAGCAAGAGAACCCAATCATGGCTTTCAGACGATTTCTACGACCACATCAACCCTTACATGTGGCCACCTAACTCCCCAGACTTGCAAGCCCTCATTTATTATGGGTGGGGCGCAGTTGAGCGAAAGATCATCAAAACTCCTTGTAACAGCAAAGATGAACTGAAGGCAAGGATTATGGCAGCATTCACCAACTTAAACAAGGAGACTGCCCAGAAGAGTTGCAAGAGATTCCGAAGTCGTCTGGAGTTCGTGATTAAAGACACTGGCGATTTGTATTGAATAAATTTATTACAAGTTATTTTTGTGTAATTTTGGTAAATATATTTGTTAAAATGAGATGGAAGTGTTATTTTCCTTTTCGAGTAAGTTAGACGACTATCTATCCATCGCACCCTATATATATATATATATATATATATATATATATATATATATATATATATATAAATAGTGTGTGCCTGCAGTCGGTGTGGACAGCTCAAATCTTCGTTTGCGAAAGCAGAAACCAAGAAGACACACACACACACACACACATATATATATATATATATATATATATATATATATATATATATATATATATATATATAGGGTTTGTCTGACGATCGCTAAAAGCGTGAAACCCAGGGTTACAAACTCACATCTATCCAACCAAATATGTTAGCTTTATCTCTGATATTGAGAGCTTTCTAATAAGTACTGCGCATATAATATATAAATAATTATACATATATATATTTATTTATATTTATTACACATTTTTCACATATACATATATTATATATATATATATATATATATATATATATATATATATATATATATATATATATATATATATGCAATGTTATACTGAATACCGAAGGTTCTCATGTATAGCCAGCTTGACACTGGTCAAAGGATTGTAGGACGGCCGTGGCACTTGTATAAAGGGGAACCGTTTCAGCTGTCGATATGCCTCCTACTAACTTCAAGCAAGCTGCCTTGGATTAAAATAACTGTAGATATTTGTGCCAGAATAGCATTAAAAATTCCGAAATCAGTCGTATTGACCGGCTAACAGAGAAAAGAGATCGGCGAAAGACGCCAACAAATGTTCCTGTAGCTAAGTCACGAGATCATTGATGTGGCACAATATGTGGACTTGTATGCAGGTCACTAGTGTGACAGAAATATCACATACAACACAAACATAAATGTGTAACTTACTCTTTTTCAGTAGGTACACATCTACTTATCATCTCTCAGTTGCGTCTCTGTCCTTGGACAGAGAGCGCTCAGGGGCTTCTCTGTCCAAGGACAGAGGGGCAACTGAGAAAATCATACGGAGAGGTGCAGGCCCTGGGACACAGCTGCCCGATGCCGCGCCTTCTCATTAAACTAGAGTGAAGGATCGGTGCACGCAACGAGGCCAGCGGAACTGACGGTTGCGGGGGCTCGGGGATTTGTTGTTCCTTGCCAGGGTGTACGCGCTCGGGCTCCCCACATTAAACCGACCTTGTGTGACAACCTGACCTCTTGTGGGGAGTGGGGTTGAGTAAATATCTACGACACAAACATAAAATGAGGTCTTCGGATCCTTCTGTGTCGAAATTGACAGGAGAGTCCATCATATATATATATATATATATATATATAAATCCTGCAGATTACTGTTTGAAAAATCCTGTAAATTTAATTTTACAAGGTGAAAATGATCATTTACATAATGGTATCTTAATTCAGATTGTATGAAATATGTTGCTCTGTTTATTATAAAAACATTGAGCTCTATGTATAATCCTGCAACTCTTGACGATTAATTGTATTTTGTTTAATTTGACGCATTAATTTCCTCGAAGATCTTAAAAATGTTTTTCGTGTAGCACCTGTTCTTTGGTTTTCAAGAGTTTTGAGTTTTTATACCTTGCAATGAATGAACTAATGGTAGTAAATAGAATATTCTGGTTGCCTTAGAATTTCCTTTATCTTTTACCTTCTTTCCAGAGCTTAACCATCAGTTCTTTTTGCGAATTTGTCAATGTTTTACCTCTTGCCATGATGATAACCTTCTTGCACGAATATCAATTACAAAATGTTCTACTTATATTTTTGTGCTAAAAATAATCATTGATAACATTATTGTAACATTCTAGAATATTCCACTTGAATAACCTTTTGTATTAAAGCAATTGTAAAGTTTTAAAGTATGAATACTTTTTTCACTCAGTAAAATGGATAAATGGGATTTATTTCTATTAAATCAATGTGTTTTTCTTTTCTATGCATATTTAGGTATTATGCATCTGTTTACAGTTAATTATATGAAAAGTATATTTATTCATTAGTTGGAAATACAATAAATTAAAACCATGTAGTGTATGAATATTTGTTATCCCCGACCCAGCTGTATATAATGTTTCATTTAGCGTGAACATTGGCGGAAAAAAGAGAAAAAAATAACCTGAGCTCTTATTTAATAAGAATGTTGACTCCTTTCCTATTTAATTTTATTTTAACATCTTTTTTTTTTTACCTAGTAATCGTAAACGTAACACGCTTAGCTTAACGGAATTTCTTAAGTATATCTTGATTTTTTAATTTTTGAAAACATTTTTCCTTTTTTTATAGTCAGGACTTGTTTACATATATTAAACATAGGCGTAATAATTTTGACGTACGATCACCGAAGTTAAGCAACTTCGAGTCTGGTCAGTACCTAAATGGGTGACCACTTTGGAATACCAGGTTCCGTAAACTTGGATGCGCAGGTGGTGTAACTGGTAACAGCTCGGAATTGGAAGCTGGGGAGACTAGTTTCAATTCCATTCGGGTTGATTATAGTCACGAAGAGATACCCTTGGGAAAGGTAAGAATTCACGTCTCTCCCCTCCAGCTATGGGTTAATTAGTATGAATTGTATCAGTAAATCATTATTATCTCAAAAAATTCTTATAATCTAAAATGCTTGTGGTCACATCAATTTGAAACACCAGTTCTCAAATGATCAGCAAAGTTAAGCAATGTCAATCTTGGTCAGTACCTAAGTAGGTGACCACTTGGGAATAACAAACTGCTGCAAGTTTATATGCACAGGTGGTGTAATAGACAATGGCTTGATATTGTAAATTAGAGAGCGGTTATATTCAAATTGGAAAGGCATGAATCCACCTCTTCTCCCCCAGCTATGGGCTAATTAGTAAGACTTGTATCAGTAAATCATTATTATCTGAAAAACATTCTTACAATCTAAAAACTATTTCCTGCCTTAAAATAACCTGCAGAAATGTTGATAAACCGTAAAAACAATCAATCAATAGTTTTCATACGTTTGAATTTCTTTTTTTCGTTTTTATGATGATTCGTTTTTTGTTTTTTGGGGTTTTTTTTTTCTAAGTTTTACTTAATCTTATTTCTGCTGCGTATTGATACGTATTGGAAGTAGTTTCACACTTTGTAGAAAATTGTTTGCTTACGGCCCTATCATGTTGAAACACCGGTTCCCGTACAATCACCAAAGTTAAGCAATGTCGAGCCTGGTCATTACCTAGATGGGTGTTCGCTTGAGAATACCAGGTACTGTAAGCTTGGATGTGCGGGTGGTGTAATGGATTATGTCTCGGAATTTTTAGCCGGAGACCTGAGATCCACTTCCCTTTAGGTAAGATATATTCACTTACACGCAAATACCCTTTTGGGAAAGTCTCAATTCACCTCTTCTCTTCCACGCTATGAATTAATTAGTAGGACTTGTATCACTAAACCATTATTATCTTTAAAAAAAATTCTTACAATCTAAAAATATGTTGTGTCTTTAAATAACCTAGAAATGGGTTGATAATCCGTAGAAACTGAATCCATCAATTAATCTTTCACGACTTAAACCTTTGTTTTATTAAATGTACCTTTAAACTTATATACGACTTGTTTATATAACTTGGGTATAATTTATAAAACAGATATGACAACAATATAACCCAATAATAATTACAAGTATAGTAACACAAAAATATAAGTTAAAAGGGAAAAAATGAAACTATTGTCAAGGGCAATCTTTTACACTGGTTTCTATGAAACCCTGCGTAAGGAAGCCAGATTTCACCTTTTTAGATGTCTCCCCACTGATATTTAAGTTATTCCACCTGTTCTGCACTATACAAATATTTCACTTTTGCACTGAATATTACATTTTCTGTATTAACTAAATATTTCATTTTCTGCAGTAAAACTCTAAATGTTATATTTTTGCATTATCTAAATATTTCGTTTTCTGCAGTGACTATCTAAATGTTATATTTTGCATTATCTAAATATTTCATTTTCTGCAATAACTATCTAAATGTTATATATTTTGCATTATCTAAATGTTTCATTTTCTGCAGTGACTATCTAAATGTTATATTTTGCGTTATCTAAATATTTCATTTTCTGCAATAACTATCTAAATGTTATATTTTTGCATTATCTAAATATTTCATTTTCTGCAATAACTATCTAAATGTTTTTTTGCATTATCTAAATATTTAATTTTCTGCAGTAACTATCTAAATGTTATATTTTTGCATTATCTAAATATTTCATTTTCTGCAATAACCATCTAAATGGGTTTTTTTTGCATTAACTAAATATTTCATTTTCTGCAGTAACTATCTAAATCTTATATTTTTGCATTATCTAAATTTTTCATTTTCCGCAGTAACTATCTAAATGTTATATTTTTGCATATCTAAATATTTCATTTTCTGTACTAACTATCGAAATTTCATATTTAGTTACGCATATGTTCAGTCTATGTTATTCTCAGCATCCTTCTGTAGAACCCTGTTTCTGGTGCCTCAAGATTCGTCTTCATCTATGCGCATATTGTCCAGAATTATTCTTTAAACCTGCCATTTCTTTTATTATAATCCGTTATTTTCCTGCGTAAATCCGAACATAATCGGTGTGCTCATAGTGTAGTGGTTATGCGTGAATTCAATTCCTGTTTTCTCTAAAATACGTGAATTGCAATAAAAACCATACTCATGGTTAATTCTTATATCTTGCGTTGATTTTTCTTCCTGTAGTGACCACAGATCGGTTTGCATCTTCTGATACAAAAAAATTTTTTTTTTAAATTGTTATTCCTTGAAATCTCTGGTTGGATCTTGGGTGTGGGGGCGCAACTCGTCCTACACAATGCAAAGGCAATGCATAACAACAACAACAGCAACAACAGCGACAAAATAATAATAATAATAATAAAAATCATCGTCGGCACCGGCTCGCATCCGATCATCGGGATCATCATCCTCTCTCCTTATATTCCCTTTCTTTCCTCTGATGGCGTTGGCGGAGTTGGCTGTGAAGGCCCAGCCTACTCTTGAAGGGTTGTGAGCAGGTGTCATAGAGGAGTGTGGGTGGTGGACGCCACAGATCCTCTTCCAGTTGACGGTTGGACTCGAAAGTCTCGCTTCACCCTCGGATGGTCCTAGGTCAGGAAGGACGATTTGCAGTAACGGTTTCCTATATTGGCCTATGCCAGGGATGTTTTCAATGGATCCTTGGAACATCGTTTTGAGCCTCCGCTAAGCAAAGACGAAGAGGAGGAGGAGGAGAAGAAGAAGAAGAAGAGGAAGGAGGAGGAGGATAATAATAATAAGAAGAAGAAGAAGGGGGAGGAGGAGAAGAAAAAGAAGGAGGATGAGGAGGAGGAGGAGAAGAAGAAGAAGATATAAGAATATTTATTCAGTAATAAAGAAAGCCATATAATTCAAAATGGAATTTCAAGCGGATGAAAAACTAAATAAACCATAATGCGCCTACTGCAGCAACAAAGAACCTAAAAAGAAATCAAAAACAAATGCAATGTGCCAAATGCATAAACGATGGCAAGATAATCCTCTTGATGGTCAATACTCTGCCGCTCGTACCAGGCTAATGTAGACAAACCCCGAACCCATCAGTGGCTAAGTAGTGCAGGTTTGAAAACTGAAACCGAAGCTTTTATTCTTGCTGCAATGTTTCCTAACTAGAAATTACCAAGCACGCATGTGGAAAAATTGTGTTAACCCGAAATGCAGATTCTGTGATAAATATGCAGAAACCATTCAGCATTTTGTATCAGATTGCACAGTGTTAGTATCAAGTGAATATAAAACCCGGCATGGCAGAGTGGGCCAATATCTGCACTGGAAAAATATGCAACTTTTGCGGGAAGGAAACTGTAAGAAACTGGTGTGAACATAAACCGAGACCCGGTTACAGAGATAAGGACCTGTAAGAATTTTATGAAACGTCATAATAAACACAGACAGAAAAATATATAAGATATATAAGATAATCGGCCACATATCGTGATCAGAAATAAAAAAAAAACAAAAAAAAAAACAGAATGTCTTTTCTTTTTGACATGAAGATTGTAATGTATCTTTGAAAAAAAAGATCTTGAAGTTGAAATCTCAAAAATGTGGTACATGGGGACATCAATAATTTCAGTAGTAGTTGGATCACTCGGATTGATTGGAAAAAGGTTCCGATGGACTCATTGAAGGAATTTCTGGTAGTCAATGCCTTAAAGAAATACAAAAAATAATAATATAAGATTGTAATGTATCTTTGAAGATTATCAAAATCTATCAAAACACTAGGATCTTGAAATGGAAATCTCAAAAATGTGGTACATGAGGGCATCAATAATTCCAGTTGTAGTTGGAGCCCTTGGTTTGGTTGAAACATGTTCCGATAGACCCATTGAACAGATTCCTGGTAGTCCATGCTTTAAAGTATATAAAAAAATTGTCATCACGCGCACAGCCCACACTTCACGAAGGACTTTGTCTATTTAAAATATGTTTTTTTAATTGCTCAGTGAAAAATTTCATAATGCCATTTCTGACCTTAGGTCGCTGGTTGGGACCCGGAAAGAAATGAGTGCATACTAGAAATCAAAGGAAATTAAATAGTAATAATAATAATAATAATGATAACACGGCATGAAAGAGTGGGCCAATAACTCCACGGGAAAATATTCAATGCTAACGGGAATAAAACTGCAAGAAACTCGTATGAACATCACTTGTAAGAATTTTATGGGACTTTACGAAACACAGAATAATCAATGTTAATAGTCCAGACATAGTGATCAAAAACCACAAAAACAGAATGTGCTTTCAAATTGATATGGCAGTCCCTGCAGAATGTAACATATCTTTGAAGATCTTCAAAAAATCTATAAAATGTGACACACGAGAACATCAATAATTCAAATTGTAGTTGGAGCCCTCGATTAGGTTGGGAAATGTTCCAATAGAACCATTTAACAGATTCCTGGAAGTCCATGCTTAAAAGTAATATATAAAAAAATGTTCTCACGAGTACAGCCCACACTTCACGAAGAGCTTTGTCTATGTAAACTATTTTTTTAATTGCTCAGTGAAAATTTTCATAATGCCATTTCTGACCTTAGGTCTCTAGCCGTGACCCGGAAAGAAATGAATTCACACCAGAAATCAAAGGAAATAATAATAATAATAATAATAATAATAATAATAACTCGGCATGATAGAGTGGGCCAATATCTCCACGGGAAAATATACGATGTTAACAGGAATAAAACTGCAAGAAACTGTTATAAACATCACTTGTAAGAATTTTATGGGACTTTACGAAACACACAGAGAGAATAATCAATGTTAATAGTCCAGACATAGTGATCAAAAACCACAAAAACGGAATATACCTTCATATTGACATGGAAGTCCCTGTAGAATGTAACGTATCTTTGAAGATCTTTAAAGAACCATCAAAAAATCTATCAAAATAAAGAATCTTGAAGTTGAAATCTCAAAAATGTGTCACATGAGGACATCAATAATTCGAGTTGTAGTTGGAGCCCTCGGATGGTTTGGAAAAGGTTCCAATAGACTTATTGAAGGGATTCCTGGTAGCCCATTCTTTAAAGAAATGCAATAAATTGTACTCACAAGAACAATAACATTACGAAGAACTTTATCTACGTAAAATGCGTGTGTAAGCTTATGTTATTTATTTTTTTCTAGCCGTTTGTCCTCATTATGTACCTGATGGAATGGAATATGCATGCACCTGTGTTCCCCCTCACTGGAATATGATTGGCTGGTGTCCGTCATAGATACCGACGGACTTGTAAGTACGACAGAGTCAAAAGCTTTAGTCTGAGAGCTAAGTCTATAACGATGCCCATTGGACTACGCCATTGATCTACACTTCTTACCTGCGACTACGACGCGTACCAGTCGATTACTGCTACCGTATTCTACTTGGTTATAGTAGCCAAAACCACTTAGCTACTTTGTTCAAATATATCCCTTTCCGGGACATATCAGTACCCAAGATATTTCAGCTATCTCTTTCTGATTTTGAGTGTAAGTAAGCATTTTACTTCCATTTCTCTTTTCTTCTTTGTTTACCTGTTTCATCCATGGTATTCTCAGCATCCTTCTGTAGAGCCCCATACCTGTTGCCTTCAAACTTCTATTTATCTGTGAAGAAAGTAGTTGCTGTCATATAGGGGTATTGATGGGCGTGTGTGCGGTCACATGTGGGTCGTGGCGAGCAGGTTTCAAT